ATTTCTATCACCTTGATGTTGTCACCTCTATGGCCCCCATCTCATACAGAGACCTTCCACACAATCAGTGTTCACTATCTACATTTAATCCTTCATCACTATCGCTGTAACCTCAGCAACCAAAGTGCCTTACTGTGAATCAACACACCACCGTGACCTCGATCGACCAATCCACCATACCATGCACAAGTGTTGAGTTCAATCATGAAGAAAGGTGTAAGTCAAACCCTACCAACATCTAATCCATTCCAGAGCTATCCATTGACCACAAATATGACCTTGGCAAACCAACCCAAGAAATTGGTCAACTCCTGGCCCTACAAACAACAGTCTTACTTGTAATGGCATTCCTGACCAACAGTAACTGAAGAACCACACATGAACAATTTTTGCCAAATTTCAATCAACTATGTATATAATATTGTTTTTGATGAATACACACAATTGAAAGTTTAATCCTTTTTGTTCCTTTCCTTTACAACTGAATGCTTGCTATAACAAAGTAAATAAAAATAAATTAAAAAAAAAAAAAAGGAGTTGTTAGCAGTATGCCTGGTAAATGATAGTATAACCAAATAGTTTTAAATTTAAAATAAACTTTTTACTTTTCATTTCATTAGTAACATTAGTTTGTTTATTTTTTGGCTATTTTCCAGAATCAGTCAAAATACCAGTTAAGATTATGATCATGTACTATTTGTTGTTGGCCTGACCCACTTCACAAATGACTAAACAGAATGTTTTTTTTAATCCTTTTCAGTGGAGCCTGAGAATTTTTTAGTACCTCCTCATACAAACCATAAAGTGAGAGTATAACATTCTCATTTAAACACTATTTGAAATAAAATGTAGCAAGCAATTTTTCTTAATTTATTTTAAAAAGCAATTACCGCATTAAATTCTTTTAAATTAAAAGAACTTACACATTAAAAGTTTTAATGCAGTTTACACTACAGTTTAGTTTACTTACTTTTATGTAAGTACCTTCACAAATTGGGTATATGTAACTTTTAAAGTGAATTTTTAAAAATGAAAAAAGCTTTCCTGAAGCTTTCAATAAAAGCTAAAGGATTAAATTTACTATACCTGCTAAGCAAAATACTTTGATGTATTTCAGACAGAAATTATATTGATTGGAATTGACTTGCATTTGTTTTTCAGTAAAATCGATAATGTCAGTCATTTTTTTTAGAAATTTATAAACAAAACTTAATTTTCTGTTTTAAAAATCTTGCAAAAATAAAATATATATATTTTGAAACGTTATCTGAGGAATACTATTTACATTATTCGGACTATTCTCCTCATCTTTGTCGCCATATTTATTACAACGTTTTGGCCATTGTACGCTCCAGCCTTCCTCAGGTGGTTGGAATGTCGAACTGAACCCTTTATTTCGCTCACTGGGGTAGACTGTTCTAGTTTCACGTGCCATGTCTAATGAATGTCAGTTGTCAATCATCTCCTGTTTTGTCCCCTCTTCAAGTTCTCCACTGCCTTAACCGGGTATTGAACTCAGTGACAGGACCCAAAGAATGCGAGTTCAATACCTGGTTAAGGCAGTGGAGAACTTGGAGAGGGGAATTAACAGGAGATAATTGGCAACTGACATCCATTAGACATGACACATGGAACTAGAACAATCTACCCCAGTAAGTAGAAATAAAAAGTTCAGTCTGACATTCCAACCACCTGAAGAAGGCCGGAGCGTACAATGGCTGAAACATAATAAATATGGTGACAAAGATGAGGACAATAGTCTGAATAGTGTACATAATACCTCATCTCAGAAATATAGACTGTTATCTGAGGAAAATTAGCAAATTTAAAGTTAAGTTAATCTGATTTGAAACAAATATCACTTATTGCATACAAACATTTCCTAACCATGGGGTCTTGTTTTTTCTAACTAATCAAGTGTGTTCATAGCTAAGTATGGTGGAGCAGATGGTAAGTGTCATTATTAGTTTTTTTTTTTTTTTTTATAAGGGGTGGGGAAAACCAGTAAAACATGTGACCTTTTAAGAATAGATTTATTGGTTTGTACATCCATACTTCAGATATTCTGGATCTATATATAAAAACAAATCAAAATTCTTTAAAAACTAGTCGGTGTGTTCATATTGTAATAAGCTTTAAAATATAGGATTAGTAAATATATTTTTTTACTTAATAACAATATTCTCTAATTATCTCATCGAAATTGAACTTTAAAAGATTAAAAAAAAAAAAAAAAAAAATTATTCAATTTAAAATTGTAAAATGAAAAATCTTTTAAAAATTTTTTTTCTTCAAACAATATTGACTTTTTTTAGCAATTAAAAGCTGCTCTAATTAAATAATGTCTTAGTTTTAATTGCGTTTTTTTTTTTTTTTTTTTTTTTTGATTCAGAACAGATTTTAGGTAAGACCGGGTCCGATTTTGAAAAAAAAAAAAAAAAAAAAAAAAAAGTATCGGTGGTTCAAAAAGAGAGATTATCTATAGCTTTCATAAAAATTAAGTAAGGGGGAGAAATATGTAAATTATTTACATAAAAATAAAATATAAAAAAGTATTTTTTACCAGGACTTTCTAAGAGAAAAATTAAAAAAATAATTCGTTTGTGAATAAGTCCTGAAAATGTCATTAAAAATCTGACAATTATTTGATTTTTCCAAATTAATGTGCTTGTCACTGCAAAAAAAAGAGGCTAAAATTTGCTTAAAGCACAACAGCAGACGAAGATAAACAAGTTTTTTTTTTAATCAAAATTTCGAATGTTTTAAAAAGAAGTAAAAATTTAATTAAATAATAAAAAATACTTTGATCCTTCCTCTTACGATGTTTTATTTACGTTTTTGGAGCATGTTTTCACCACAGTTATGTCGGCTCCACTTTTTTTCTTTTTAAAAAGTCAAAGAAGGCGTTGACATTTAACTGGTGCTGCCGTGCCAGCGAGTTCACAGTAAAATTAAAACAGTACACAATTCAATTTTTTTTAAAGACTACGAAGAGAATTTTTGTTCGATTTTCCTGGTGGGATAATTGAATTTAACGTAGACGGATTCATAAAAATTATATATAAAAAATTGCTCATGAAAAATGAAACGCACGGATTTAACAAAAAACAAACAAACATTTCATTTAGCAATATTTTTGGAGACCTCCCAATTTAAAATTAAATGGTAAATCTTTTATGAACGTTTCTTTCTTCTTTCTTTTTACTAAAAAAAGAAGAAAAACGTTCATATGGAAACTAATTTTTCTTTTTTTTTTTTGTAGAAGAGAGCAGGTTTAAAAAAATGAAACCTGTTGTTGTAGGTGAGTAAGTAAAAAAAAATTAAATTAAAAATAAATAAAACACGGAAATTGGTCTTTCCCGATGATTTCCAAATTAACCTACGGACCCTGAGAAAATCTTCTGGATTAATTGTTTTCTGCAGCCTAGAAATGTACAAATTAATTACTACAACTACACTACTCTCTACAGTGATGATTTTGTTCCTAATGTGTAACTTAAAACTTAAAAAAAAAAAAAAAGTATCCGTACACTACAGTATTGATTATTGAACGAGTAATTAGTGAGGAAATTTAAATATTGTGAAAAAAAAAAAAAAAAAAAAGAAAGCATATTATTCAGAATAGGAGCCAGTTATCAAATAAAAAAATAAATAAAAGTAAAACTGGTTTTGGTTTACGAAATCGAATAAATAAATATGATCGTTTCTTTAACAATGTCACTTATTGCTTCTTACACTTATAGACATCCGTACTAGCACGAGTTAAAAAAAAATAATGGATTGTATTTGTAAACAATAAACATGTGACTAAAAAAGAAATAAATCTATATGAGAAAAAAAATTATTTGCAATAAACCAGCAAACAGGTGAGAATGCAGCAAGGTTAAAGCATAGTTTTTGTGAAAAAAAAAAAAAAAGTCATCAAATAAACACAGATTTTAAACCTTGAGGAACGAGGGAAAAAAAGTAAAAGTCTTTTTTTTTTTAATTTATATATCAATTTTATCAGTTTTTATTACTGGAAAATAAAAATTTAATTAAAAATAGTAAAGTTTAACTGTGGAAAATATAGTTCTTACTTAATTTAAAAAAAAAAAAATGTTTTTGTTTACTGTTACTATTTATTTTTGAAGCAACAATAAAAAGAATGATTCACCAGTGTTTACTGTTTACTAATCAGAGTTTTTTTTGTTTTTTTCTTAAACTAAACCAAGATAGTAATTAACTCTGTGGTTCGTTTATTTAAGAAAAAAATCGGTTCTTCTCACTTCGTCGAGTGGGAAGGGCGTGCAGTAAAACACGGACCTGGGGGTAAAAATTTCAGCATAGCTAAGGAATAAACATCTTTAGCAATTTCACAGTGAATTTTTGGCTATCCTAATTAAATTAATTATATTATTACTTTGGAAAATAAACGTAATTTAAAAAAAAAACCTAGCGTCATATAATGACGGTGGTCGCTTAAAATTAAATTCCTTGTGAAAGCAAATACGTACTTAACTTGGTGGATAAGACAGGCTTGTTTTGTCTAAAATTCACAAAATCAATCATAAACAACGTCACATTAGGAACAGACTTAAACCGTACGTTATGCACTACAGAATAGGATTGGTGATGGTGGGGGGGGGGTCATATGTGGTTTTTAGTTTGTGCGTAAAATAAAATTTGAATTCGATTTAAGAATTCTTAAGCATGCAAGCATGTTTCATATCCTCGTATTTCTAAAAAGAAAGCACGAGGAATGTGACATATAATAAAGGTACAAAAACGTGTGCTAGTGCGTGCTGAAAAACAAAAAACGTTTTGTTTTTGTTTGTTTGTTTCTTCCTGTCTTTTCTTTAAGCGAAAGAAAAAAGAATACGTTACGCACATCGAAAAAGTAGAATTAATCCGTTTTTTTTTCTTTTTCACAAGCAAATTTTTTTTATCCATGAAAATAGGGAACGAATAGATTCTTTAACCTGGAAAAAAAGAAAGAAAGAAAGAAAGAATTTACATACCTAACGCTTCCAATACCCGTACACTGAGTGGAGTTCTTGTGGCTAACTCATAGGCAGCTGTCAGACCCGAAATCCCTGCCCCAACTACGACAACATCAGTCTCTATTACGTTGTTGCTAGCCATTTACGACGAAAGACACCTCTAAAATAACATGGTTAACTCTAGTGAATTGTACATTGTGGCTAAAGTGGTGGGAATTGGAGCACGCCAATAATAATCGGGCACTTTTGTGGTCGTGTTCCCTCGAAGAAAATTCAGACATTAGCAGACGGAAGCTCGCCTCAGCTGTAACCTCTGACGTCACATGTTGCTGCTGTCGTCGGCTTCTTTCTTTAAATGATAATTAAAATAATTACCTTTTAGTTTGAAGCGTAAGTTCTCGTATCATTTTTTGTTATTAATTATTTTATGAAACTTTTTAAAAAAAATGACTGAATATTTTTTGAGAGGCGCTCTAACAAACATTGGTTCAAATTCCAATGTGACCATTTTTTTTTTTTTTTTCGTTAAAAATATCTCCTTCACCTTCGCTTAGTTTCGTTTGGCGGTTAGCTGGTTACTAGTGTATTTCTGCTGTTGGTCCAGTCGTCAGTTGTGAAAGTTGGATTTCGAACGCGGAATTCCAACGGAAAACAGGCTCTCTTCATTTAGGACTGATGCAACACATTCTTCCAACACCAACATTTCCATCTAGTTATGAAACTTAATTTTCGTTATTTTTATTTTATTTATTTATTTAACAGGTATATGTCTTAAAAAAAAAAACAAAACAAAACAAAAAAAAACTAACACAGGTTTTTCAATTTTTTTTAATCCACTTAAAAGTACCTTTTTTTTCTTTTAGCGATAGGTAAAATGATGCAATAAAATTCGATTTTGTATGGAACAAGAAAAAGAATTTTTTTTTTTTTTTTAAGCATTTACTTTGCTTTTTATTCAAATAATTTTTCTTCTTAAATTTACCCATAAAAGGTGTCACGAGAGCAAATTACCCAGCCAATGTCCACAATTTGTCTAATCTGCTAGTATGCACTAATTTTTACAAATTCGGTAGAAAGAACTTACTTTATATAACTTTAGGTCACTAGCTCTAGCAAAATTCGAGTTTGATGATAATATACTCCTCCTCCCCTTTCTGTTCGCAAGAAAACTAAAAAGTTGGTAACTTTTTTTTTTATTCATAACTACAACCCCAAGAAATAATCGTTTTTCTCTTCAGTATTTTTTCCTATTACTATCGAACAAGCATTCCAGATCACGAATATTTGTTTTTTTTTTGTTTTTTTTTTAATTTTCTAAATTTTAAGACTAAGATGGTTGTTCAGTTTGCTATGCAAATTAATTGTCAATTGATCCCTTTCCTTACACCAAACAAAAAAGAAAATGGTTCACGTAATAAAGCATACTAACTCTACAAAAAAGTTAATATTTATTAGTTAAACTTTAATTGCAAATTAAATTTTTAAATCATATTCTTGACTTTTTTCTGTGTTGTTTTAAAATAATGCTTACATGCAAATTTTAGATAATTTCAAAACAGCTGATGAATTTTTACAAGAATTGTTTTCATTTTTAAAAATTTTAATAAGTTATAGTTTTTTTCTCTTAATAAAATTCTGTATTAATTTCCGTCTTTTAGATGATTAAGTGAAAACTTAAAAGCTTAATACAAATTATTTTGCACCAAGATTTTATAAATAATTATTAATTTTTCTTATGTAAAATATTACGTAACGTGCAGAGGTTTGAAAGTATGGTCTACCATACACGACATTATCAGAAAATAAGAGCAATGACTATATACTCAGCATTCTTAAAAATAGATTACGGAGAATATTTTCAAGATTATTTAAAGTTATATAAAAAATGCGGTCACCTGTCATGTTTTAGCAGATAAAGTTTCCGTAGATCTGTCAACGCTTTATCAGTGCTTTTTTTTTAAAGTAATTGGCAAGCGTAAATCACCGCTACTGTTTGTTCTAAAAAATCCATTTCTGTTACAGTGTAACCTGGATATAAGAGAAACCCGGATATAAGAGATTTTCTCTGGTCCCAAATCAGAGCCTGTGTTAATAATGTATATAAAATAGACCAAACTCGGATATAAGAGAGTTCTTCTCCGGTCCCGGCAACTCTCTTATATGCGGGTTACACTGTATCTTCAAAAAGTAAATAGGTTTCAGATCAGATTCATTATACTTTAAATCAACTAATATTCCTCAAATAAAGTTTCAGAAAAGTATATTTTATTTTTAGATTTTTGAAACTTTTGCCAAAAAACAACAAAAAATATTGAGATTTCAATCAATATAATTTCTATTTAAAATAGACCAGAGTATTTTGCTTACTGGAAATAGTAAATATAATTATTTAGCTTTCAATTAAAGCTAAAAAGAAAGCTTTATTCATTTAAAAAAAATTCATTTTAACCCTTAGGTATCGAAGATTAGTGGAGCTGTCTATTTTAAATCCTCTTACTGACCTTTCTTCTACTATTATTATTTGTGCGTGTAGAGGGAGATGAATTTGTATAGCAAACTACTCCACCCCACTTAAAATTTAGAAAATTATTATTTTTTTTTAATCTGTGAGCATAATCGATTGTGATATATGAAATAATTATTTCGAGGAGGGGTACGTTTTTATTGAAACATCAAATTTTTTTTTTTTTTTTAATGGTACACACATTATGAAAAAGATTACATGATTATTTATTTATTTATGTATTTATTCACTAGTGAACTCTTCTACTTATGATAAGCATTGTATCTGTGCACTATGTGGGGGGAAAAAAAGTGTTACTTATTCACACACACAGCCACAGATACATAAATGAAAGAAACATTGTTTCTTAACAAAAGATAGGCACAAACAATGAAACTTCAGGATACACATTTTTTCTTCAGTAGACACCTCCCCTCATATATATATATATATATATATATATATATATATATATATATATATATATATATATATATATATATATATATATATAGGGTGATTGAAAAGTAACTCCGTTTTATGTATGATGGACTCTCCAGTCATGGAAAATTTGGGAGAAGCCATCATACATAAAATAGGGAGTTATGTTTTTCAATCAGAGTGTGCATGTGTATATGAGAGTTAATACAAATAAAAGGTTTGTCACTTAGCTGATTGAGGTTACTTTCAGCATCCCGCCTCCAGAGTTTTGTAGATGGACACTCTGGGAATCACTCCTTCCACTCGTCAGTGGGTACAGCAATTGACTGTTTATATTGTTTGATTTTTCTTATTTTATTTTCTTTGGTGCAAGTTTTTTTTTTCATAGTGCATGTGCGTGCATTCAACCATCTGTGTGTACATGTAGAATTGTGGTTATTTGTCCTTTGCGTGTTTTTTTTTTTTTTACACTCTTTACATTCATTCCTTAACTTTTTATCCCTTTCAGTTATAGCCATTTTTGACTTCTGGTTTTCTAGATATGTACTAGAATATATATATATATATATATATATATACACACACGACGAAAAATTGCGTTTTTTCAGTCTGATGTGTATAAACATGTGGATATTAAGGGATGTCTCTGTTATTAACTTATTTGATTTTGTAGATGTGTAAATCATTGAGAAAATTTTTTTTTTTTTTTTTTTTTTTCAACCTCTTCACCCCTGACCAAAAAAAAAAAAAAAGAAAAAAAAGTTATACATATGGGATAAGTTAGTGATTCATAAAGTCAAAGTGTAAAAATGTGATATTTTGGTGTCAGCAACCATATTCATGTAGTGAGCGAGACCTAGGTCAAAGAAAGGACAAGTAAAGATCAACCATCTCTATTTCCATTTTTTATGGCCATGTGCAATATTTACTATACATGTATGTGCAGTAGTACATAGTGTCTGATGTGTGTGAACTTAGTCTGCTACAATATATGGTAATATTAGCTGCTTCCCTACAAGGAAACATTTGGTGTTCATTGACTGAGCAGCCAGTACTGCTTTTGGTTGAAATTTATAAAAATTTTCTCTTAAAACAAATTTTTTTAGAAAAACCAGTTTCTTAAGTTCAATAGCTTTTATTGCTCTTTCCATTATCAAAGACGGTTTCCTTCCTAACCTATTTTCTCTTCAAGTTACATGTGCTATCCATTTTAGTTGTTGCTGCTGGGGCTGTCTTAATGCATGGGCCCAGTGGGCACTTGCCTGGGGGTCCCATGATAATCTGTATGTTTCCTTTTTAGGAAATACTAAAATTAGAAGTTTCTACAAGCCACATGTCATAATAGACAGATCCATTTCATTTGAATTGGTTCTCAAATAAAAAAAAGAAAATGGGATAATATCCCTTTTTGACCTAGAAAACACTGCAAAGGGTAAGGACTTTCTTCAAAGAGGCTGCCCACCTATATAAATGGAAGGGTTGGTTTGTCTCACCAGTTCAGTTTATGTGCAGAAAAGTCCGCTATCATGAAAAAAAAAAAAAAAAAAAAAAAAAATCAAAGAACTGACCATGATTCTTGATGATCAGTCTTTGTACAGTTCTACCACAGATTCACCTGTAAAACTAATTTTTATCTTTTAATATTTGTGACCAAGACTACCGTTGACAATATTAGCTTTTATTTTTATTTTTCCTCTGGTTTGATTTAATTCTTAAATTTACTCTAGACTGAAATCAATATTGTTTTGAATGTTTAATGGTAATATATTTATATTTTCTCCATTGGTGACAATATTATCTTTTGTTTTTTCTCTGGTTTGATTTAAATATAAACCTACTGTAGTACTATTAACAGCAATTACATGATTATTGGATATATTTATACATTGTATATGAACCCAGGTATATGGCTACACTCAGATTATTAGTGACTGAACCTGAAATTCAATAAAAACACTGAACACTTGTACAGTAAGCATGTAGTGGTTATTTAAGATTATGAATTTATGATATGGTACTAATTATCAGGCATTGAGTTTTTGAATATATGAATGGATAAGATTTTTAATTGTGCAAGTTGAGAAAAGTGTTGAATGTAGTCTTGTAGACCTATACATAGATGAGGCTAGATCAGTGTCAGACACCCTAGCTATGCCACTAAACTAGATCTAGGTCTTGCCTAGCAGTTTTGTGAATCAGCACACAGTAGAGAGTTTGTATTAGGAATAAATATTTGTTTGTCCAATTAAAAGGAGGACATGTTCATTATGGAAGCAGAATGTTTAAATATTTAGATCTTGTTGCAAGCACACTTATATAATATAGCCTTACATCCTGGTGTGGGATTAAATATTTAAAGATATACATGTCCAGGTGAATAATTGTTTCTGCTGAAAGAATGTAAGGTTTTGAGTGGAGCACAGAAGAGAGCTGCAGAGGAGGAGGAGAAAATAGGAAAACTTTCAAAATTAACAACGTGGCTCAACACAGGTGCAATGGCAGTCATTTATACAATTCCTTCAGATATAGCATCCACATCCATTCCTGCTACCAATCATCCAGTTTCAGCAGACATACCATAATTGCTTGTTGCTGCTGCTGGTGACATTTTACAAAAGGAAATATCCAAATCTGTAACAGTAAAGGAGTTTGCAATCCAATAGACAGATCTGGGGCTGTGGAACATTAATGATAACACAATAGATTACTGGATTTGTAGTGGGCCCTCATGTCAGAATCATGATAGCAACCTTTTAAACTAACACAGAGTGAATAAAACAGCAGCAGTAGAGAATATCAAGGCAAAGTATTTATCAAAGCAGGTGTTCAAATGTGAAACATAAATGGCTACTCTACTCACCATCCCAAGTTTGTACTGCTTTGTATATTGCCTATTATGCAAGAATAAATTTCCCTTTGTAACACCGGGGTTCAATGACTGGAAGTACAGCAATGTTATTGTAGAACATGAAAATGGAGAACATCATCAAAAGTGCATGACAGCATATTTCATAAGGCATAAAGAAACTGGAAGTGTAGATTCTTTTTTTAATTAAGTAACATTGCTCAGAGCAGGACTATTGGCATAAAGTATTGACACGTGTGGTTTCTGTAATTCGCTTTCTTGCCTCCAGACATTTGCAATTTTGTGGAGAAAATCAGATTATTGGATCAGCAAAAAAGTGGCAACTATTTAGGTATACTAGAGCTGCTGAGTGAATTTGACACTTTCTAGGAAGAACATCTCAAAATGTATGGAAATCCTGGTTAAGGGAATTTGTCATATTTATCTGCAAATATTTGTGAAGAATTTATTGAATTAATGCAACAACAGGTTCTTTGTACTATTCTAAGTAAAAGAGTCAAGATATTATTCTTGAAATGTAGATTCCACTCCAGACATCTCACACACGGATCAACTAACATTTACTGTTCAATAAAAAGCTGTGAGCCTGTAGAACGTTTCTTGATGCTCATCCTCATCTTTTCTCATGGAACAAAGGATCTAACAGACACTGTTGTGGAATTTTTTTAATGAGAACAAAATCCCACTATCAAATTGCTGTGGTCAGTCACATGATAATGCCTCAAATATGTCTTGACAATATACTAGATTGCACACATGGATTCATCAAATCAATGAGTTTGCCATCTATGTCCCCTGTGCTGGACATTACACTGTAAAATTCTTCAGCATCTCTATTCATTTTTTGCTGGCTCTACTCATCATTAGAATGTATTGACATCATCTCCAGGAAAAGATTTTGTGGTCAAGCATCTGTCTGCGACATGATAGGACATTTTGCTACTGTTCATGCCCTGTATTCTCTATCAGCTGAGAATGAACAGCAAGTGAATACAAGGTGAGAAGCAGAAGGATTGAAAAAAAAAAAAAAAACAAAACAAAAAAACTGGGGAGATTGGGAATCTTGACGATAACCATAAAAGAGAATGCAGGAAATGGCAATTACTCACATTAGATTGAATGAAAACTGTCTAGCTTAACCAGGGGAGGGGTCTGTCAGGAAGCTGCCCTCATTGTGTCGAAAGGAGACTAAAATAGGAAATCAATGTTGACACCGTTCATGCAAACAAGGCTTGCGAATTTCACTAAAATCTACCACTAGCAAATGCTTTCTCTCAGTTCTTATCTTTATTCCGAGCTGATGCCCAAAGAATACAATCAGATGCAGATAAGAATAATGCTTGTATCATAACATTCCCTCCATCCCTGTTGTTCACATCACTATCCTTGCCATGGCTAGCAGTGTTAAAAACAGCCATCCATCTTATCCCAGAACACAGGGGCAACACATTAATCACTGGTATGTGAGATTGATGGACATAAGACGTTTGGGATCGATATGAGCCGTCAACTCACTGACAATCCTAGATCAGGAACACCTGAAGACAGTGGTAGAAGGTGTGTTTCTTCTAAATCAAAGTCACACCAATGACAATTGGGCATATCTGCCCAGTACTCTCTGAAAATTATGTCATTGAAAGACAGCCTGTTCCAGATCAATTGCCAGACGACTGAAAACTTAGGGTTGTTGAGGTAATTTGCCGCTGATATGCTAACTTGATATTCATTTTTCAGAGCACCTTAGGCACATACTGGCCAGAAATCTGCAGTGGACAAAACTTCAATGGATTGTCCTTGGCTCCCAGAGCCCATGTTGGATGTTATCTGTCTGTCTAGGACAATCACACCAATATCTATGGGGAATGTTAATTTAAGGGCCTTATATAGTGTGGGGTGTAGCAACATCAGAGCCCTTCCAGAACATAACTTTGATAGTTTTTTTTCAGCTCAGGTGACTAAACCTGAGCTGAGGGAAAGAGTCCTTTGCAACAGATGGAAAAATCCCAACTTTTAGTCTGCTGCTAGATTTTTAAATCTGGGTATTGACCCAGCTTTCAGGAAATTTCTAGGGTCCTCTGTTGATGGTGGTTAGTTCAAATAATGGCCTCAAGAAGGTTCTCTTCTGTGAGGAAAGGTTTCTCGCGAAGGTCTGACGGCTCACCTTGCAAGTTTCTCCCCTTTGGGGGAAGCCCTTCTTTTTCTGTGATTCATTGAGGGAGGGAGAAGACGAGAGACTTGTCTTGCCTTCTTGAGAGTTGTTTTTTTGGTTGGTGACAGAGGTAGACTGGGTCTTGGCATGTTCCATTCCACCCTGCTTTGTCTGGACTTCTTTTCTTTTTAGATTATCTCCTTCACCCTCCAACTTTTTAAAGATGAGGACCAATGTGGAGGCATTTTCTCCACCTCCATATAGAGGTCCAACTGCAGCAACTCCTGTTGTTTTTGCTACTTGGCCTGTAGGACATTCTGCTGGGGAGGAGGGGCTGCAGCCTTCTGTCCTCTCCTCACTACCTCCTTCCACTCACCTGGCTGGACTTCTCTGGCCTCACTGCTTCCTTTGATGATTTTGGTTGTGGCAATGCCACTGGTTTCTTGGCAAGGCATACTTTCGACAGGTGCCCCTTTGGTTGTCAGTACTCAATGATAATGAAGACTGCGACAAGTCAATGTGTTGAGGGGGATGTCAAAAAAAACAAAAACTTCTGTGGGTCATTATCACTTGAAAGAAAAAACCCTAGTAGCAATAGACTCTTTGCTGTTCACAGAAGACATCCCTGGAGAAAAAGGCCCCCAGCCAGTCCTCAGTGATATTCATGAGCACCCTATATGAAGTCACCCTTGTCTTGCAGGTGCACATGTACTCCATCTAGAAATGGACAGTCCTAGTTGCCAATAAGCTGCCAGCTAGGCTTCTTTCTCAGTCACCAGGATGTCCCACATGTTGCTTTTCTTGCCAAAATATTTGGCACAATTTGGAGGCATGAGTGCCTCCTCCAGTTTCCCTGCTGAAACCCATTAATTTATGTCCATAATCAGCAAAGTGATGGACCTCATCATGGTCTCCAATGCCCATTGGTATATTTGTTATAATGCTCCTGCATTGCAGCATGTTTTGGCCTGTTTGAAGCCCATGCAGAATGGTGTTGGAAGACTGCCATATTGGTTGCGGCTACTCCACAGCAAGTGCACAGAAGAAAAAAAGTTTGACAAAAAAAAAAAAAAAAAAAAAAAAAAAAAAAAAAACAAACAATATTGTGTTTTACCTAATTTTGTTTCAAAACATTTTCAGGGAAAGGTGCTAACTAGACATTCCTGATAATACATTTTATGGTGTTAAATTATCTGTTTGATATGACAATTATATATTAATAAACTATTAAAAAACAAGAAAAAGAAAATGATTCTTTCATTAAGAATGAAAGTGAAAAAAAAAAAAAAAAAAAAGCAAAAGGACAAATATTGTCAATACATCATATACCTTTCATAAACAATTCTTATCAACACCTGCCTAATTTGTTAGCAAAATAGATAAAACAGAGCAATTGCAATCTTGTTGCTTCAAATAAGTTTTTTGGGTTTTGTGATATTTTGTTTATAAATGGAGTAAAAATTTCTGAAAATGTGTACCTGCTTTCTTTACTTTTGTTTTTGTTCAAATTAATAAACTTCTTATAGCAAAGAAAACGGAGACTTACCTTGTCAAACCAAGTGATAGTGTGTCGGGTGTACCCTATAACAGAAAATGTGGCAAAAAAGAAAATTACTTACCAAAAAAGGGGCATATATTCCACATGACATGCTGAAGATGGAATATTTAAAAAAAAAAAAAAAAAGTGTTGCAGGAGTTGCTATACAATTATTTTGATATGCAAAAATTGAGCATCCTCTCCCAGCTGTTAACAAATGGAAAAAATGCTCGGCCGATAAAAGCAGTTCGTGTTCTTGAATCGGGGAAAAAATTTGGATATTTTGGTTACCATGTTTGTTGGAGAGTGAGTTATTTTTCTGACTAGCTGCATGCATTCTGATTTGTGAGATAGTACCTGCGAATCGAGTTTTCAGCATTTTTTTCTGTCCCCGATGTTCAAGTCGGAACTTAGTGATTTATTCTCTGTGACATATTTCCTTTGCAATCCCAGATGACAATGGTAAATAATAAAATATTTACTTCTATTTCTGGTATTTTTTTGAATGTTTGACAATTGTTCTTTTCTCCAGGTCTAACCTTCACAGCTACAACCTGCCATCCTACTTACATAGTAGCAAACCACCCACATTCCTTTGGCAAGAAGTTCCACTCAAACAGCTTCTTATGAACTACTGTCCTGTAGAACAGATGCTTAAGAAGAAGTTCCACTGATAACTACAATCTTAACATGCCCAAGTCTAGAGTTAACAGTCATCTTCCCTTACTATCCATATACCTCAAGTGGGCCCTGGGCCTTGTACAGTGTAAGCCTTACTGTTTAAAAAAAAAAAAAAATTTACCATTCTCACATGTTATGTTGTTGTTTATTAAATCAGCATCGTTTTCATCTTTAGGATTAATATATGCATCTGAATGCAACACCTCAGTTCATCATCAAAATCCTTGAGCCACTTCTAATCCTTTGCTAAATGTTGTTAATATTTACTGTTTGAGTATTAAACAATTTTTTTAATTGTAACTTGATTACTCATTACTACTGTAGGTATACTCTTCTGAAGGTCATCTTATAGTAAATGGTCTCTAAGTTTCATATTGCTAAAAAAGCTCTCATAATTCCTAGTAGTATGTACTTATTAATATATAGTAAACAAGATCACCAGTGAGACAAACATATCAATTTAGATTGACATTAGGACACGGGAAGAAGGCATTGTACCTTGTAAAAAAAAAAAAAAAAATCAAGAAAAAGAAACTGACAGACAAGATACACCTTTATAGTTTTAGTCTGCCTTTTTTAGTTGTCTAAATGATAATTTCATTAATAAAATAGATAACTTCCTCAGACATAAAAGTAACATGGATTGAATATACAAATAGAATTCTTAAAACTTATTTATTTCAAATGTACAATATGTATATAAAATAGTGAAGATTAAAATAAATTCTACACCAACATTTCCATCTTGGCTCTCACACTTTCAGCATGAGTTTGTAATTCATGTAAACCATCTTCCAACTGTTTTTTCTGGGGAAAAAAAAAAAAAAATTTTTTTTAAACATTTTCCAACTTTCTCCATTTTGTTATAGGTTATTTTATTTTGACACAAAAATAGAATGAATTTGGTAAAAGTTCATTTTTCTTAAAAATTAAAACTGAGACTTAACAAGCAAAGACAACTACCAATCAATAAAAATTTGGCACCCCTTGGAGAACTATAGTCAAATTCAGAATAAAGAATTTAAGTTATTTTACTTAGAACTTAATCAGTACAACAAAAACTGTCTTTTAGAAACAGACAATGGGTATATGAAGAAACCTATTTATTTGCCACAAAACTTTCAATTTCTACAAACTGTGAATTTAGATTACATAAAAAAAAAAAATTAAAAAAAAAAAAAATTAAAAAAAAAAAAAAGCCTCAGCTGCAAAGTCAAATTTGTACCATGTAAAACCAATAAGTGTTTAGAAAAAGAAAACTTACTGCTTTTGTTTTGCAAATCAAAGCTATAAATTTGTAAAACTCATCCAGTGTTAGGTCCTCAGTGGATTTTCTCATTTTTAAAAACTTACAGTCTTTTGAGTGTTGTTTGTGTTCTTTCCTAAAAAAGAAAAAGAACAAAAAGAAAAACTTTATACAATTTACAAATCAATTTTAACACATCTCGAAAAAAAAAAAAAAAGAAAAAAAAAAGGGGAATATGCAAAAAGATGCTGGGGGTTTCATTAACATCAAGCAGAGCCATGATTGTTTTGAATCTCCTAGAAAAAAATTTTTTTTTTTTCAGAGACAGTTGCTGCCTGCTCACCATTCCTACTAAAACATCCTTGGAATGTACCACAGATAGATAAAGAACTACTATGGTAATACTTTAAAGTTACTTGCATAGAAGTGTTAACATATTCGATTGGCACACTACCAAAACCAAAGTTCTCATTAAACTACAATATTTATGGGAAACCATTAACTTGACACAAGATTATTTGGTAAGACTTTATTTTTCTTTTATTAGATCAATTTGTAAATTAAAAAAAAAAAAAAAAAAAAAACTGCAAAAAGAATTCAAGAAAATCTATAACTGGATGCACAAACATCCTTTATCAAGGAAAAAGCCTTTCATAATTTGTACAAATTAAAACCAGTCATTAGTTCAGATGGGTAACAAGCAAATTCAATATTTGCTAAAATTAAACACTGTACAGAAAAAGTGTAACAGATTTTAAAAACTAAAATAAATATGGGATGGCCAGAAATTCACAAAAGCTTGCTTTAATTTTTTAAAACCATTATCAGCATTAAATAGTCTACTTGCCTGGAGCATCATTCAGAGAAAATCTCAACTTTTGACAAGCTTGAAGTTCTACATTTGATTTGAATGCTTGTCTACAAAACTTGTACAAGCTTCAAGAGCCACTCGAGGTAGAGGATTAGAGTGAGAGACACTACCCTAATCAAGGAGATAATACCACCAAGATGTAAGTAGCCACCAGAGGTGAAAGAGAAAGAAAGATTTAGAAGGAACTCAAAACCTAGTCCTCAAAAGGAAAAACAGGATAAACCTCTACCAATGATAAAGGAGGAATGTGAACCAGACAATAGGCAAACCTATTTACTCCTATTAAGAGAACAAAAAAAATAAAAAGGTAAAGAAAATTTCAGAGTTTTTTTCTTCATTTAAAATATAAAATAGCAAGGAAAATGTTCCTTATGTTCTTCCATCTTCAAGGTTAGGAATCATTAAAGAAAAATACAAATCTTGAGGGCTTTGGAATAAAATTAACCAACCAAATATACAGGTACAAAATAAAATTCCTTGAGGATAATATTGATTTTGACCTCCAGAATACAGAATGTAGATGCTAGTGGGTAGTCGATAAAATTTTCCAAGTTTTTAGTTATCTTGTGACATAGTAACAATCATACCCATCATCCATCTATGTCTGATCTTTATAGACATAAATGATATCAAAGATCAGTGCACTGAAATTTTCTTTCAAGTAGGACCATTTGAAAGAGTCAAGATTGTGGGTCATTAAGAGATTATGGACATCAAGAGAATTGCAGCTACTCCCTTACATGTAACATCGGAGGTGCCTCAATGTTGGCAACAGAGGCTGAAAATACAGGTGTTATATTTGAAGAAAAATCATTTAATGAGTCAAAAGTACAAAATTAATGAACAGGGCTGTATTAATAAACCCTTAATGAAGGTGGTGAGATTTTTTAAATTTAATAAAATAATTTACTTGCAGCATGTATGCTTCTAGCCAGATTTCTACTTACAACATAACACTATTGCACATATCAGTAGTCATGAAAATTTAGTGTTTTTTTTTTGTATTGTTAAAGAAAATGAAGAAATCTAGTGAAATGAAACTTATAACTGAAAAAAAGTGAAGCTTGAAAATATACCCACCCCCACATACATATACCCAATGTTTGTACGAGTGGGGAGGGGGAATAGGAAGGAAGCTTGTAAGTATTTTCTCCATTAGCCACACCCAAAGTAGGCATTTATACATGGAAAAATATGTCTTGTTTTCAAAAAAAATTGTTAGGAGAGGAGGGTTAATATTTTACAACTTGTTTCATATTTAGAACATTTTGCTTAAAAATATTAAATTTTATCATCAATCATATTAAGCCATAATAAATATCATAAATAGCTCTTTTGAAGGATGTAAAGTTTTGTTACTCTAATAATAAATTGGTGATATCACACACATGTTAAGATCCACTACACAACAGTCTTCATATTTCAGCATTCAAAATGTGCTTCCTCAAGCAATAGAAAATAACTAGTGAGTAAAAAATCATTTTAAAATTTTAAAAGTAGATAAAACAAAATTAAAATGAGGCTTGTGGGTTTACCCTGATTAACCAATTAGGTGTCAGACCTACACTTAAAAAAAAAAAAAAAAAAAAAAAAATGGGAATTTTGATTGTGGTAAAATGTGGTTTGAAATATAATCCTGGACAAGGTAATGAGTGGCAAACCAGAAATTAATATAAACTATAAGTGGTGGCAACCATATATCATAATTATGAAACAAATTTAACTTGTTCAATTTTATAAGACTAATGGGAGGTCAGGAAGACAACCAAACCTATAGCTAATTGTAAGTGCAACCTTCAGTGTTTTTATATATATATATATATATATATATATATATATATATATATATATATATATATATATATATATATATATAATTTTATACACACACAGATACAAACAGGTTTAGTTTAATAACTTAGACATGTGATTTATTTTGTCTGATCTTTTCAAGTTCGGATTATTTTCTTTGACCATATAAAATTGATTAAAAAAAATAAAATTTCCTTTCAAATAGTTTTTATTTACCCCAAGTACTTTCAATCTCATCAGAAACCATCTTCAGGGGGTTAAATTGTGAATGCATATATATGTGTGTGTGTGTGTGTATATTTTATACACACACACACTTGAAACATTTTGAATTTACAGAAATACACATTCGCAGACAATTTAATCCCTTAAAGATGGTCTCAGATGAGAGTGAAAGTACTTGGAAAAATAAAAACTATTTGAAAAGAAATTTTGGTAATTTCCTTAATTTTCTAAGGCTGCCAAGAATCCGTTAATTTGAAAGAATCACAGCCAAAATAAGCAGACATGATATGTCTAAGTTATTCAAACTGGTTTGAATGAAAATATGCTGTCTGAATACATACACATTGTGAATGTTGAATATGGTATATTTAATTAAATATCATCTTATACATCTCTCCAATAATTGTTACAAGTTCTACAACGGGTCTACATATGTGCAACAACTATTTTTTAAATTTTTAAAAAAATATCCTACTTCAGTTTGGTTATTTTTATTTATTTATAAACATTTTTCTCACTGATATTCTATTTTGTGAATTGGCTTTAAAATACAAGATGCCCATTCATTTACATAGAATTTCATATAACTTTCACGACTGTTTAATGTCATTAAGTGGTACACAGGTAGAACTTATCTATTACTGAAGAGACTTACACAGGGTCATCATTAGGTTCCCATCCATCCAATTCTTTCTGACACACAAAACATTGGACATAGTCAGGTTCTTTATCATTACCACAATGATAAAAACCAGCAGCTGCCATCTGCAAAAGAGAGAAAAAAAAAATTGAAATGAGGAATATGACATCTGTCTTAAACAATAACATAAGAAAATCACTTATTTTTTTAATTTTTTTTAAAACCTAGGTACCTCCATGGGATCACTAAAAAAGCGCATAGCATGATGAAAAAGATGCCAAACTTGATGAAAACAAAACTATCATCTAAATGTTCATCTTATTAAGAGGAAAGATCAAAGTTTTTTTGTTTTTTTTTAATCGTTCCTAGCATGTCCGAGATTTGTTAAAAATCTTTTTTTTTTTTTGAGTCAGCAAAATTGACAGATAATCAATCATGGCATCCATTTATTTCCATTTTATAAAAAAAAAAAAAAAAAAAAAAAAAAAAAAAAACTGTTTGAAATTCTTTTAAAAATTATTTTTTCAAAATTTATTTTAAGAAAATCAGAAATTGTGTTTATTTAAAATATTTTGAACCAAGCTTAACTTAGCTTCTGCGCTGAAAAGATGCAATTTGAAAATAAAACAAAGCAGGTTATGTATCACTTGACAGGTGTTGAATGACGCATTGATATGAGGATAATTTGTTCTACAGATGGAGAAAAGTGAAGTTATTTAGATTTAAGTGAACAAATTATTTACCTAGTTATTTTTAAGGAAAACTTTCAGCACTTTTTTTTTTGTACTTAGCTTTCACCTTTACATTTACGATGCTTTATGGAAAATATATTATGAAGAAATTAAAATAAGACTTAAGAATGAGATTAAATTTCATAAGAAAGCTAATTCATTTATACTAGGTACCTTTCTTATGAAATTTTATCAGAAGTATATGTAAAATAAATATCAAAAAATATTTCTGCCATGACTTTAACAACCACCACCACCCAACCAACCACCACACCAACCAACCACCAACAACACCAACAAAACACTAACAACAACATTTAATTTCGATCATCTGTGAATAATTTCTGAAAGTTTCATTGACATCCGACAATTAATTTTTGAAAGATTTTCCAAATTAATGTGTCATAAAAAAAAAAAAAAAAGAAAAAAAAAAGAAAAGAAAGAAAAGTGCTAAAAATTGTATGTTATTTTACTAGTTTCGGTGATACAAAGAGAAAAAACAAGTTTTTTTTTTTTTTTTAAGTCAAAATTTAGAATGTTCTAAAAAGGAAATTTAAAAAAAAAAAAAAATAATTAAAAACAACTTTGGCCTTTCCTCTTAATAATAAATAACATAAGCATTCAGACGATAAAATTTTGTTTTCGTCAAGTTTGGCGTCTTTTTCATCATGCTATGCTCTATTTTTTTTTTTAGCGATCTCATGGAGGTACCTAAAACCTAATTAATGTGTATGATAGCAGTAACATTTCAGAACCGCTCTACCCAGTGACACTTGCAAAGTCTGGCCATGCCTGGTTGATTTTATGTTTGCTTTACAACAACTTAGGTTAAAAATGTTTAATTAAAAATGATATTGCATTTCGTTTTTATTTCGAATGCATGACTTTTCAAGACTTAGGGTTCAGAATAAGGAATTACATTTTTTAGAGGCAGTCTAAGGGGGGTAATTCAGTATTTGTTATACCGTTAAAAGTGGTACAGGTAACTCAATACGTAAAAATGAATAAAATGTTTTTTTACTTTATTTTACAATGGTATCACTAGGGACTGAAAAACGCATTTTGAATAATTTAAATAAATGCCTTTGAAATTTAGTTTTATTCAGAAAGATAATAGCATAAAGCTAATACGTATTAAAAGAAAAAATTAATTTCCGTAAAGTTTTTTAGGCATTTAAAAAATTGGCACGTTCATACGTCACTCATCGAACTGCCATTTATTAACAAAAAAATGTAAGTAAACATTTAAAAATCCAATATTTGTTTTAGAGATATGGTTCCAGGTCAGTTAGTAAATTTAATGATTAACTGGATATTGAAAAAGTAATACTTTTTTTTACTTAAGCCAATGAAAATAATGTTTATTTAATAGATACAAGTCAAAAACAGATCGCGAAAAATTGAAAATAAAAATTAAAATACGGAACACCAGCAGTGCAAGAATCAAGAAATTGGTATTTTTGTTTAGAAATAAATTATCTTCAACCTTATATAACCAATACATTATTTTTATTCTATGCTTTTATTAAACTTACAATTAGTTACCTCCGGGAAAATGCTAATAAAAAAAATCAGCATACCGTAATGAAAACATCGTCAACTCAAAATCCTTAATTATTTTAAGAGAGGATCAAACAAAGTATTCTTGAATAATTATGTTTTTAATTTTACTCGTTCTTAGAACATTCCAAATTTTGATATAAAAAAAAAAAAAAAACTTTTTTTTCTTGCGTCAGCATAGCAAACTTTGGCCTCTTTTTTTTTTTTTTTTCTTCAGACACAATTTGGAAATTCTTGCAAAAATCAAATAATTGTCGAATAATTTTCAGAAATTTTTCACAAATGAAATTAAAATTTTTTTTTTAAATTAGAGAATAATTGTATTTTTCTCATACGTGTTCCAGTTCCTTAATTTTTTTATGAAAACTTGAAAAACTCAACGAGATAATTTAGTGATTAAAAGAAAAAGCAGAATTTTTTGAATTTAAATCACCGAATTTTTTGGAAAATCGAACCCGGTCTTACCGAAAATCTGTTCTGAATCGAAAAATAAAAAAAACCGTAGTAACGCAATAAAACTAAGAATTGAATTTTTAGAGAAGATTTTTTAATTGCTTTTATGAATATAAAGACAATATTCTCTGAAGAAAACATTTTTTCCGCGACAAATGAATTTTTGCAAGATTTGTTTATTTTTTTTTTTTTTACAATTTTAAGTTGAATAATTCATAAAGTTTGTAAATCTTGTAAAATTAATTTTCAGTGTGATAATTAAGAAAAAAAAAAATTTACTAATCATATATTGTAAAGCTTATTACAATCTGACGATCCCGAATATTTTAAAAAGAATTTAGATTTGTTTTTGTAGGTGTCATTACGTGCAGAATTTCTGAAGTACGAACGGTCAAACCGATAAATAAATCTATCATTAAAAATAGGTTACGTGTTTTAAGGGTTGTCCCCACTTTGAATTATTTTTTGCAAGATTCGGACGTATTTTCTGTATGTTCACACTTGATTGTATAATTATTTTTCCTGAAAGAGCATCTTCAGTGATTTTTTCTTATAGATTTTTTTTTTTTTTAAATTAAAAGTACACACAGGATATAGAAAAGAGTGGGGTGACCCCTCCCGAGTATAACCTACTCAGTATACAATTCATTCATTAACGAATAATAAGTACTGAAAATGCAGTTTGAGTCATTTCCCTAACATTGGCAGGAGAGACCTATGACTTGTACCATGTTGATTGTTGATACAGCTGAAAATTTAAAAAGATATTGCACAGAAATGCGATTTAAGTCACAAGATTATTCTTTTCGCATTTTTCTCGCTTAAAGTTCATTCATAATTTCAACTTTTTAAGGTATTTTTCGCGGAAGTATCTGCGTAAACGTCATCACATTTTCAGATGGAGCAAAAACATACCAAACACGGATTCATCCACCTTTTTAGCGAATGTACATTTCTTTAAGCCTTAAAGTCTTGGGTAGCAACTGGTCTACTGCAGGAAAAAATCTGCCTCGTCAGTCATGTATCGAAAGATACATGATTGCCTACGCTTGTATCACGCATGGCACATAACTTTTTATGTACTCTTGTATTTTTGTTCAATTTAAATTCTGACAGTTATTGGTCACAAACGTTGGTTTTATTTATTTTACTTTTTTTTTTTTTTACTTGTTAAAAATAGCTTTAGACAAAAAAACTATTCGCTAATTTGCCCGAGTAAATCAATGTTTGTGGGTCAATCTTTTGAAAGTTGAAACACTCCAATTTCTTGTCTCTTTAACCCGGTCTGTCCTGCTATTTTTACCCATAGCGAGGAGGGGGGAGGAGAGGAGAAAAGGATTCACACATTTCCCAAGGGTATTTGCACGTAAATGAATGTAATTCGCCTTTTTGAGGAGAATATTTGGAATCATATTGCTAAAAAAAACTAATGAATTGGATGTAGAAACAATTATATCGGCAGATTCGCACAATCATTTAGTCTAGTGAACACAAACTACTGCGATTTAGTGTTTTTTACTTACAGCAGATTGCATCCAAGGATCTACTGTACTTTTTAAATTTAACTAGTGTAGTTAAAAACTATTCACCAATTATTGGGTTGGTGCATAAGTATCAGGCGTTTTTGTAGGCGAGTTATTTGTTAATAAAAAAAATTGCTGATTTATTTACTTTTTTTGATAAAAATATTTTATTTTCAGATTATAAAAAATGCGTGTCGACAATCATACGCTCCAGAATAATCATTTAAAAATGTTATTGTTGAATTGTCAAGTTTCTTTTTTCATAATAAATAGCGTTTTAAAAAACGCCTGATAATTATGCACCAACGAAATAAAATTACCCGCTACAAAAAGTTATTTCAATTTACATTCGGCATCTACTGCTCTGTTAGTAATATATACAGTACATAAGAAATACACATTTTTTTCCCCACAAAAACTTTAATTATACCATTTTTGAAAGTGTTAATTTATTGGTTATGAAAATTAAATGGTCGCATATTGCAATTGCGAACGACATCCTTTGTCTCTCGTTAACGTTCAACCGAACCAATAATTTTTAGAGACTAACTCCGCCACGAAGCTGAATAGTGATTTTTCAGTTATTAATTTTTATTTTTTTAGTTAATTTCTTACTATCAGGTATATTACACGTTGCGATATCAAATCAAACTGTTTTACAATCTAAGAATCGCTCTTGTTTTTAAATAGTAATTCAATGCTTCCCTAAACTTCGGTCTGATTTCTATTTTTCATTAAAACGTCCGGATTGAATTAAATCTTTTGCCTGACGTTTAAGATATTTTCTCTTAAAGGCCATTTGCTTTTGTAGTTAAAAAGAATTCGAAGCTGTCAATTTAGGAGATTAACTCAAACCTTTATTTTTTCTGAAAAAATTTAACCCGATGAATTTAAATCAAAAACAGATGTATGTTGTAATTATTAAGTACATTTGTAAACTAAAAGTTGACAAAAATAAAAACAAAACCTAAACACAAGAAAATATATACATTTTTTCAAACCCGTATCGTTTATTTCAAATATAAACATGATTTTTTTTTTTGCTTTTCTAAAAGATCGTACATTTGCTTGGCGCCGAAAAAGACATTTCAAAAATGTTTTTAAATTACCCGTTCTGGTGTACACACGCAATCTTCTTGGAATGGCCATGAAGTAAACGTTTCCAGACGCTTGCTTTTCAAATGCATAAAATATTCTTTTTGTGACTTTTCGGAGATTCCTTCCTCTGGGCCCATGTTTGTTTATTGAAGGAAGACGAGAAATCAGCAACAGAACCGTTTGAAAATTTAAATCTACCACTAATGGTCACGTGGCTATCAGGGGCGCATAACTCTTGAACAATTATTTATAGATGTGGAAATGGCCTTAAAATGGCCTGGTTTAGGTTTAGGTTCTCCTAATGATTTTTGTGTAAAAAAAAAAAAAAAGAAAGAAAAGCCAAGAAACATTATTAGAACTACATATGAGAAAAAATCTCTCAAATTATTAAAAATCGCAAAGAAGTTCATGCTAAGTGAAAGTGTGCAGTAAGCCCTGATAAAAATAAAATTAAAATAAAATAAAAATAATTCAAATTAAAATAAGGCATTTGCACTTTCCTTTAAAACCCTTCTCTTTCTTTCTCTCTATTTACCAACCACACCATAAGGCAAGATGTCCCACAAGGCCAGTTTTTAATGTGGGGCATTCTGAGCCTGTAGGCTCGGACAAAACTTGCCGACAGACTCTGTATTCATGGGGTTGGGTTTGTCTACCTCCCCAAACGAGACTCTGTCTCATCTGGATTCCTCTCTGCCCAGTTCTCTCTCAACTAATGAGAAGGTGTTGGAGTTACTTCCTCCTTAATTATCTAATTTTGAAACTGCTACTTGGGAGTGTTCTTAATTGACTATATATACTTGGCGAGACCTCGTCTTGTTCCCTTTTCTTTTCACTTTTCAGCTGATATACCAAGATGTTAAGATTTGCATCTTCCCCTTTGTGGGGGTGGCGCTATGCATTTCCTTTTGGGAAACATGCATGAACATTACACACACACATATGTATGAACATTGACATTCACTTATACATACTTTGACCACAAACTTTCTACGTTCATTCATACACATTAATAATTGTCTTTGTCAATTGTAACTCTTATTGTATGTTAATACACATATACCTGTTTGTACATATATATAGCAGTCTTTGTTGTATACTTCACATTTTTCCTTTTACATTTCTGTTGGCGGGCTCATGCTCCGGGAGAGTCCACCATGTTTGTAGTGGGCCATTTCAGGAGACCACATGTGTTTGTCCCACAATGCATATAAACAGCTTGCTACAAAAGCAACCCTCAAATAAAAAGAGAAAGAAGAAGAGAAGACTGAACCCGACTGAAAAATGTTGGAAGTTTGTGGGACCAGAACCTACTAATTTGTAACTGAAAACTAACATAGGCTTCATGCATAACTTGTGTCATAAAAAATAAATGAAAAAGAAAAATACATGGGAAAATAAAATCTATTGCTTGCACTAACAGCTAAATATGTTCATGTGAGCAATGCCTTAAGGAAAATAGGCGCTGTAAATTAAATTATTACCTCGCCTTAGATCATTCCTACCCTGTCTGATGCTATACTGTATTGCAAAGAGACACATAATTATTACTCATTTCCAGTTAGGTGAGAGACTCCTGAAAAGACCTCCATGTTTCTTTGTACATGTGTATTTGTTCAGTATTAAAACCTATACTAACAGTCTTATGTTCATTTTAACTCATAGCAATAGGAACTACAAAGAATCTTATATTTTCAATGAGAAAAAGATAACTGAAATTTCTGGGATAGATAGTGAGTAAAAAGAGCCTAGAAAATTTAACACTCAAAGGCAGTGGCCAATCTATTATGAAATTAATGAAGCTTAAGCATTGGGGCTCCTAATCCCAGAGGCACCCCTGAAGTAACTTTTTTAAAGTAAGTGTATAAGGATACAGAAGGTGCTTATGGTGGAGATAAGTCATGTGAGTCAAATGGAAGACACTTAGTGACATCACTCCATCCAGTGACGGAAGTGGCATTCAAATTTACAGCAGCCAAACTGAAAGTTTCCTTTCTTTAGCCTGGGCCCTCTATGGCCTGGGTAGAAGCTAAATCTACTTCCCCAGCAGCTTATAGTCCATGGTATTGTTTCCCTTTGGGAATATATTTTTCCCAGATACGGAATGAAACTCCAGCTCAGAGTCCTCAATTTGGAAAAACCAAAGACTTACTGTTTCCCATTCGTGGAATATGTCCTCGCCTAGGACATAGATGAATCTGGCCTGGTTGAATCTGTAGTCCTAAACATGGCTACTCTAGACCCAGGAGTACTTCCATATTATATGTAAAATCCTTCCTTTTTGTTTCTCCTTGCATTCTTCTGTGTAGATATATGTAATATACTGTTTTCTGCATTGTTTTATATATATATATATATATATATATATATATAGGCTAAAATTTTGTTTTTTATACTCAGTTATATTTTCTGATTTCTTTTTGAATTTGTAGGTTTGATGAATTGGATCATGATTACGATTCCAATGTAATAAATTAAAACCATGGAATATTAGTGTTTGAGCCTTTTATATTATATATATATATATATATATATATATATACTCTTTTGTGTACAATGTAGCATTATAAAACTCTGAGAACAAAGCATATTTGTCATTCCTTTTCCTTTCAGCGATATCATTCTGTCCATGAAATACAGTGCTATTATATCACAAATATAATAATGTTCATAATGGGGGAAATACAAGTGGGAGAATAAATCTTTCTTTCAAGTCTCTCCCATTATAAGTGAATTTTTCAACAACTTAATGTTTTTTTTAAAAAAAGTGTTTGTTATTAAAATAAATCCATCTTTTTAGTGATAGAATCATAAGCTATTGCGCTGAAGTAGCTAATGTTGGCCTTAGAATGTCCATTTCATATGGTTTCAAAATTCCTCTGTAATTGGGCAAATTTCAAAATTTTCTTGGGTGCTTGCAGTGCTTGGACACCCAGCTGTATGTGCTTGTTGATCTTACCAGAATCTATTCATAGCCTACATTTTTGGCAGTTGATTCCTCGGATCTTTTGTTGCTGGTTGCAAAGGGGAACCTATATCTCTTCAAGCTTCATGTCCCCAAAAATGTAGTTCCACCACAGCACAAGATATATTGAATGGAAGAGAAGAAAAGGAGAAACAGTGAGTAAGCTATCTAATGTGTTTGTGCAAATGGGTGGCAGAACACGAACAATGAATTGTGGTAAAGAGTCCAAAATTACTTACAGCAACAAAAACAGGAAGTTGTAGAGTCATAATCATCCACATCCTAAAAGTACTTAGTACATAAAAGAAGTTGAGAAATTCGGTACAATGAATAGTAATGTTTAGTTGTTTATTTTTTTTACTTTAATAAATTAGACACAAATGATTGTTTATGTATCAGCTCTTGACTTTAAATTAAGACCTAAATAAAAAATTTTTCTGTGTTAAAATCTCTGTTAGTAAATGTGCCAGTGTCAAAATAGGTTTTGCACCCAAACAGTTGTGCCAAAACATAGTTGCCATTCTTTGTGTTACTTACATTTTTATATTAAATTACACAGCACAATAAAGTCTGAACAAGTTTTGAAATGATAATTCAACACAAAATTAAAGACAAAAATTTCTTTTAATTCTTACATTAAAACTTCTTCAAAACAATAACTGAATTCCAAAAAGAACAAACATTGGTTAGATTCTATTTATTAAAATATATTCTGATGTTAAATTTTATTGGGTATCATGAAAATTGAAATTATAATGCCCAATATTTGGCCATAATTTTGTATGCATAAATCAATTAAAAAAAATTCCCTTAGAAAACAATTTGTTAATTTTTGTTGCTTTCTTTGAAAAACAGATAGGTTTTGAGCAATAAAAATATTTTTTGTTTTGTTTGTAAAAAGTAAGAAAATATACAAAAATAATTTGTGTTCACAACGAAAAAATAAAACCAAGTATTTTTATCAAACATTTTATAATATTCTGTTAAATAAATTGAGGTTAAAATATAGTTTTATTTATATATCTTAATGTTATTTTGGCAAAATTTACCAAACATACCTCCAAAAAAACGTTTTTCTCTCTTAACTCTACTACTACTGTTCCTTGGCAATTTTTAAAAAGCTATATTCAGAATTTTAATAAAGCTCAAATATATGAAATTAAGTTTTGTATTTTCTTTTTTTCCCTTCTTTTTCAACAAAAGAATTAAGCAATATTTATTTTATTAGATGTTTATTTACAAGAATAATTTTATGCTTATAAAACTATAAAAATATGTGAACAGACTACAGTGCAATATTTATTATTTACTATATTATAATGAAATAACTATGAAAAAAAATTAATTCATAAGTTTATAAAAATGTTTGTGAACAAGGGGACAAAAAATTTAAATAAATACATAATGATAAGTAAATGTAAATAACAATTTTGAAAAAAATGCATTTTCCAATTTTTTCTTTCATTTGCTCTCACCACATAATTTCACTAAAATAGGTTGAGCGTCCCTCCTTGTAAATGTTTAAATCAAGTTTCATGTGTTTTGGTTTTACTGAAATTCTAAAAATACCTTTTCAAAACAATAACAATTGCCAAGGAAAATAGCTGTATTGAAAAAGTCCTTTTGGTTAATTTGCAGTATAAACACCAAAAGTACCATTCTGGTGTGAAATTGCCTGGTTATTTCGAAAATGACATTAAAACATTGTGCTTGATTACTGTTTAGAAGTCAGTTCAACAATATAAGTTAGACTCCTTTCTTGTCACGTACACAGAATGTCTGCCATTACTGGCTTTGTTTACTTATGTTTGCCTCGAGGAGTCATGCAGCACAGAAGTTTCATTTGTCTTGATTACTGTGCAATGTACAAAGTGTGAAATGAATTTGCGAAATAATGTGCAAAAATCCTAAAATCTGACAATTAAAATAAAATAAAATAAAAATTACGTGCCTGAAAAGTAAAAAAAAAAATGGATATTTTCCTTCTTTTCAATGATGTTTTTTTTTTTATGTGCCCTGAAAGTTTCTTGAATTTAAAGCTTCATAAATTACATTTTAACATTTTAGGGTGAGATTATGTTTCATTAGCTATAAGCAGATTTATTAAGGACAATAAAGAAAAAA